CTATCACACCGTAGCGAATCGTATTGTATTCTCGTTGAAGGAATCTCTGAAATAAACTTGTAGTAATCCTGCTTGACAAACAAGAACGGAAGTTATTAAAAATTAAGTACACGGCATTTGTTTTTTTACAACAGTCTTACCATTAATAAAGACATATCACGGGATCACTGATTACTCAATAACGCTTCTTGACGCCATGTGCTAAACATATCAAATGTTGTAATGACAATAATACAAATTAGAAGTTACTCCATTAAAATTGATAGTGAACTAATAAAGTTCAACTGCATAAAGGTAATATAATTAACACTATATTTAATTAATATAGTATTATTTATATGCAATTATTATTAAACTTGAATTTCTTAATGTCTATAATATATAAATTTAAAAACATAATGTTTTGTAAATAAATTAAAATTGTGTTTATTTTAAAGCTCTATTTTTCTAATCTCATTGGTAAGTCTCGCGGTTTTGTCTCATTTTAAAATAATACTAAAGATACCTTTATGTGTCCTTATTACATAGAAATTTAGTCTTACTCTTATATTCTTTGTGTAAAACTCTTTTACTGAGACAAAGGAAAATGGTGAACACCAAATAATAAAATTTGGTTTAGATATGATTCGTGGTATAAAAATAAATAAGAATGTATTATAAATTCGAATATTTATTTTTCTAAGTGAATATCTATTTAAATATATAATTAATATATGTTTGGTACATTGTAACACTGTTATATTATTATTATTGTTTTATGTATTACAATGTGTATATATATAATAATACATCTCAAGTTTTATTTTATTAAAATATATTTTAAGTCTTTAATGCGGTGTAAATGAGGTAGAGCTCTTTCTCACGCTTATCACCGCTGCACTAGTTAGCACCGCAGAATGGGCGGTTCGCTTCAATCTTTACATTCTGGGCCACAACGAAACATCCAGCTACCATTTTGATTTTTTTACTTATAACTTTTCTTACTACCTAATAAGTATTCAGTGAAGGAGATCGTCTTAGACAGATTAAATTTATCTACAATGCTACAACATGCACATTTTTCATTTTGGATTTGCGTCAATAATAATGGCCTAAGCTTCATATAGCGATTTAAATATGAAATGTATCTTTTTTATACTATTGTTTCAGCAGCTCTTGCCGATTTTTTGCCGGGTTTCCTCGGTACAATATATAACGCCATAAATTAACGAAATGCCAGCAAAGAGTTTTACTTTCAGGTGCTTGAATAGCCTAGACTGCATAAATAATATTCATTTGGTTACAAAATAATATTAAGATTAATTATCAAAAGAATCTTCATTCGCGAAAACACTTTATATTTATTCTTCTAATATTTACTGTTGGCATTTTAGTTTCATTGTTAGATTTTTATTTAGCCGTTTTTACACACCTTATAATATGTGTAATATTAAACAACATCACATACATTGCTCAGATTCAGAGATGAGTAGCTAATGGTACCACAACACAGGAGGAAAAGAGACAAAATAGACACGCCTATTAAACTTTGTTCAGGAAGGCCGAATTTTCAGCGAATTCAGGCGCGATTTCAGGTTGATCGCTGCAAATGTTTTATTTGTTTATAACACCGTACCTTATCAACGAATATAATAATATTAATATAGAGTGTAGTTCTAGTATTGGTTTTACTGTTTGAACATAATCGACTTTATTTATCTGAATCTGGTCATAAAGCAATTTTATAGACTTTATCATTTAAGTACCTATACATGATAGAATTGAAATAACGATATAACGTTTCGATTTCATGTGCTCAAAATAGTGCTGTCATGCTTTTTAAAAATAACTACATGACCATGAAACGCTATGTGTACTTTAAAATTACGTGGGTAGTTCCAAGCTTCAGACTTCAAAAAACCAGAGGATCATTTCTGGGTAAATGTATTGCTATGTTCAATAAAGTTCCACAAAATGTAATTGACCTACCCATAAATAAATTTCAAATTTATGCAAAGAATATACTTATGAGTAAAAGCTATTATAAAGTTGATGATTATTTAAAGGATCGCAATGCATGGAATTAATAGCCTTCGCTTTGTTCTAATTATATGTTCAACCTATGTCCTACAGACTTTGAAAGTTGTATTTACTATTGTGATAATACATATTATTTTGGTAATGACATGATTTATATAAATGTCATTTCATAACTTATGATAAAAAGCTGGTAAGTTTCTTTCGCTTGTTCTTCTTGTCAGCTAAAAGACGTCCTGAACAAGTGGTAGGGGAAAAAAGTTTTTTGGACGATTCAAAAGTGCTTGTAATAGCCTACTTGAATAAAGATATTTTCATTTCATTTCATTAAAGTTAATGTTTGGACTCTGATTATTTGATTAGTATCCACACGAATTAAGCACCTGTATCGATTACTTTATCGGTAAAGGCGGTTCCAGTGCTGCAAAGAAAAAAACCGTACTTAAGCATCCTGATATAACGAGATAGTTGTGGGAGTAACGTTATAATTAAAATAACGTTATTCCCACGCTCTTGTTTATTTTTTCTTATAAAGATCACACACGGCGCATATTTGTTTGGTGAAAAATGTAATTAAAATAATTTAACTGTACATTTTTATCAGCGATATAAATAGCATTTTCATTACAGGTTTATTTTGATATTCAGATATAATTAAATCATAATTAATTATTAACATTATTCAATAATAATGTGCACTGGGGTGTCGACGTAAAGTAAAATATTTTTCTGTTAATTCGACCGGTTAGTTTGCGAGTAATCAGACACGATATGAATTTTGTAGACATGACAATTTATTTGCCTACACATGATTGGCACAACTTTTTGGTATTTGCATATAAAATTAAAATTAAATTATCATAAAATAATCAAAATGTTACTCGTAAACCTAATGGTTTCCCTCTAACCGCGTTTTATTGTGAAAAAAGACGTTTAAAGATAAATTTTAAGGAAATTTTGTTATTTTTTCGATAAAATTCTGTTCTATAAAGGCAGACTGCGAGTGGAAATTTAAATTTTGAAAAATTAAACTCTTAGGTGTGTAAAGCAGGCGGTAAACTAATTATAACATGCCTAATTATGCATTTTCATAAGAATCGTTGTTCATCCCGCTTTAATGTTATTACATTAGGGTTACTTTCGTGTTAAGTTTAAACTGAGAAGAAGAGCAAATATTTTTAGAATAATTCTTAACATTCATTATATTAAGAAAAATGAAACACACTATTAAATGTTTGATAAACACATAGTTTTAATGAAAAATGAACAATAATATGAAAGAGAGTATTGATCCGTATCTATACCTCGCAAGTAACGTAAACTCTCTTTGGTAATGTACTTAGTAAACCAGTCCATATGTGCATATGTTTTGTTTATAGATTCCTTAAACTTCTTGAAAAAAGTTTTCGACCCAGCTCGTATGCTATCATACATACACACAACCATAATAATTTGTCAACACTCTAGAATATTACTTTTGTCAGATGTTACACCGGCCCATTAGCTCAGTTGGTTAGAGCGTCGTGCTAATAACGCGAAGGTCGCGGGTTCGATCCCCTCATGGGCCAACGTTATTTTTTTATTTAATTCTGTATTAGAAGAAAACTTTAGATTTTGTGCGTACGAACGACGATGCCAAAAATAAAAATGAATACTGAGCGTTTTTATAATGATACTAATAAAAAAAATACTTAAGAACTTTACAAACATTACCGTACGTTTAACACTTTGACCTAGGTACTATTTAGGACTTAGGAACAAGAAACCAAAAAACCACAGAAATTAATCAAAAAAAAGGCCGACAGCCTGATGACTATTAATAAATTATTGTAATTTTTTCATGAGCTTGCAGCAATTTATCTTTTTATTTGAAATAAATTTGTCACGCCACGGTGACAATACACGAGTATTGCTAAGACAAATTTGTTTAACATGTCATACAAACTCTATAATAGGAAGATACTTTGAACACAATGTATATAATTGTCTAATTAGATACATTTATCATTAACTACATTTCATTTTCAATGAAAGTAAAATAAAAATAAGCAAAACAATTTTTACTCAGCAGTAACTTAGGTACTTACTATAAAAGAGACATTATTAGAGAAAAAACAATAGATGTAACAATATGAATTTTATTCATATAAAAACATAATTTCTATGCAAGTTTCATTAGAGATTCCCAAAATATTCATAAGTGTCTCCCTAAAAAAATTATATATACATACATACTTAAAATAAATATAAAATATTGTCATTCATTTGTATCATAAGTCCGATGATTTCAGAATAAAATTATTGAGCCTCTTATGTATACCAAACACCAATAAAATATTTCCATTTAGATTTACTTAGAAAAGACGAAATAAACTTTAATTGCACTTCCGGCCACTGAGCGTAATTTACAAAATGTTATTGATCTAAATACTTAAGTAGATGCAATAATTATTTACATTATATAAAGTATATAAAATTATGGTAATTTTTTGAACATGTATAATAATTCTTAACAATTTGTATATAATAATTTTTACAATATGTATTTACCTTCTCAGAACTCAATTATTTTTATTTTACTATATTTGTCAATTTTAAAAAATTAATTACACTTATATCCTTAATAAGTACCTATCTAAATATAAACTTAAATCAAAATTACGAGCAAAGTTTCTTAATGGTGGGTATATATATTTTTTTTAATGAGTGATTTAAGGTTACACATTAGGTAACTTAACACGATCATTCATAAATTAACTTCGTTCAACGTTAAACTGAAAATTCTGTTTAACACTAAAACGATTACAATATACGTTTATCTCAACATACACTAAGCAAAAACATTAAAAATCTTACGGGGTTAATTTAAGCCAATCGCAATTGGGTGTTTATTTATGTCTCCCTTAAAATTTTAAGCTAAAATTCAGTTGAAACTTTTTACAGAATAGTATTTCCAATAAATTTTTATAATTACGATTACAAAATTAACATTCTACGGAACGAACATATGGCGGATCGTCTAATTTGGTAAGAGGTGCAGACACTTTACTGTCGCATCCAGCCTTTATTGATATGACACTCCTGTGCTCCGAGTCACTATCCCCGCTTAGAATAATGTTAGTTTCACCCATAAACCCAGAATCAATTTGTTCTTGAGTTGCACCCTTACTTTTTATCTCAAAGCTGCTAAGGCCGAGCTCGGCTAGCAAATCTTTCGTATCATCAAAATTACCAAAAAATACAGAATCTGTCTCTACACTTTCACCACCGGATTCACTTCGTCCATCGCAAAGAGATTCCAAATCATCAGTATCAGACTCAATTTGTAAATTTGGTAGCTTATTCATTATTTTGGTTGGTTCAGGTACTATTGTTTTGGGTCTCAACTGCATCAAATACCTCGCTCTGCGTTTTGATTCGTTGGAATCTGTACTCATATAACCAGAATCTTCAGTTTTATAAAGCTTCCTTAAATCGGTTCTGCGTGATCTGGTCCGAGCTGAGCGCCGTACAGAACGACGAGTATTAATATTGTCCATTCTTGAAGTTTGCGAAAATCGGTCACGTTCTTCCGACATTCGGTGTCGGTCGCCTGGTGGACTGTCTCGGGTAGAGGTAGAAAATTTTGGAGATGATTCAGAACCACGTCGTTGTTTCGGAGGTATTGGTGGCTTTTCTTTTTGACTTTCGATTTGTCTGATCAAATCAGGGGTTTTAAGTGACCTTGAAAATCCAGTTATTTCAGGATTTATAAAAGGAATACTATTGCGTCTCCCATAGGACTCTGAATCACTATCCTGGTTTTTCGCTTTTGCTTCGTATATTTGTCTCAAGCTCCCTATTTTTCGGGTAAATGCTGCTTCAGGCGGTGTTTTGTTTGGTTCATTATCATGCTCAGGCGCTTTGCACTTAAAACTTCCTCCAGATTTCAACAAAATTTTCTCCACACGTTTTGTTTCTCGTTTCGGTTTCCTATCAAGAGTATCAGGATCAAACTCTTCGTTTTGATTACGTCTACTTTCAATTGGTGACCCACTCACTTTAATAGTCAATGGTCCCGTTTTACAGACATTATCGTATAATGGATCCATTGCATTGATGAAAATTTCGCTTTTATTTTCAAAGTTTAAGTCGAGAAGTTGTGGAACTAACTGATGTCCATCTACAGCTTTTTTAATGTCACGCCAACTCCTTGAAAATCTTTCCTTAGTCGAAAGTATATTTGATTGTAGCCTAAACTCTTCCTTTTGTGAAAGTTCTGGTTCGCAAGCTAGTGAAAATCTTCTTCTTCTTAATGAATTGCGTTCTAAGCTATCAAAATTATCAGAGTCATCACGATGTATGTAAAATTCTTTCTTACATTTATTCGTTAATATATTGTCATCACTATAGTACTGAGAATCGGCAGCAAGAACTGGTATTACAATTTTCGGAGCATTTGGGATATTTTCTAATTTCAATTCTTTTACCTCTTTAGATTCTACTCTTCGACATTTATTAAGCTCGCGAATAACAGCTTCCATTTTTACTTTTACTTCAGGTAATATTGGTTCAACATCTTCTTCATTTTGTGGCTTCGGTTCGCATACTGGTGGCGGCGGAGGTGGAGGTAGCTTTCTTCTGATCCGACGAGACTTATGATTTGTTGGGGTTTTATGTTCTGGGATTATAATGGTTTGTGTAGTTTCTACATTCATTTCAACTTCAGTGGAAGTGATTGACAATGGGTTATTTTCGTTAATAATATACTCTCTTGTATATCGATCATCCACATTATCTTTTGGAATTTTAGTGTCCATTTTGGGTTCCCCAGTTTGCAATAAATCCGAAGGTCGCACTAAAACGTCATTCTTTGGTTTAGAATCAATTACTCTCGGAGTACCACTAACTTTAGCTATTGATTTTACTGGTTTTTCTGTTGATTGAGGAGTTGGAACTTCGTCTAACCATTTACGAACAATACGTTGTTTGTAATCATCGCTTACACAAGTCTTACAGGAATTAGACCTCATCAGAGCAATACTTTTTAGAGAATTTGAATTATTACTGTCACATCCAGGACAGCCACCACAGTGACCAGTTCTTCTGGTATTCTCTTGTTTTAAACTTATAGCACTAAATCTTCTACCACGCCTAGCACAAGGGATATCCCATCCCAAATCTATAGTATGGTAAAGTTCTTCCTCAGATATGTCAGATAAAATCGGAATAAAACGTTTAGACACCATTTTCTCTTTAGCAATTGACATTACTTCTCGGATCTTGATGAGAAATTCAATTGCAGCTGGCGGTGGATTCTGAAAGTAAAAACTTTTATTAGTCTTCAAATGTATTTAGATTTGCATCTTCAATATTCATACGATAATGAAAAACTTTTACCTTGAGATGCTCGGTCTCAAAAAAGACTGGGTTAAAATACAATTTTTTTCTCAATGTAGTCTCCCCATTTGAGGATTGTAGTGGTTGTCGTGCAACGATATTATTTTCCATACTGCAATCAATTATAGATAAATCCGAATGAGGAGCCCTTTCGAAAGTATCTGGAGATGCTGATCGTCGTTGTAATCTCTCATTTATTCGTTCTGGTGTCGAAGTAGCTCTTGTTCCCGGCTGAATAGGTTTCTTTCGTCTTGTGTGTATAACTGCAGATGTTATATTATAACTTGATTTCTGGAAATATAACAAGGTTCATAAGGCAAATAGTTTTTGATTTTTTATTTTACATGTATGTAAATACGATCAAATGATAAATTCAACCAACCCTATGAATAATATTTGACGATGAGTCCACAGTGTCTTCAGTATGCTCACTTACGTCAGATAACCCAGCATCATTAATAAATTCATTAGTTAAATTATTCATACCTAATAATGGATTCGTTTTAAGTTGCTGGAAAAAATATAAATGAGTATTACTTATGTTAAGTTCATTCATAAATTCATTTGGTCCATTCATGATTAGGTCTTTTTGGAAGTATAGGTATTGGTGGAAAATATAATTTTTATTTCTAAAAATAATAAAAAATAAAACTTACTACATTTTCAATGTCGATTCTCGAATCAAGAGTAGATATATTATCTGCAGATATGGAATTTGATAAATTTATCTCTGGATCTTTCTCTTGCTTCTTTTGTCTTTGTTTATAGTGTACATAAAATATTATCCCAGCTGCATATATAAAGATCAGCATCAAAACGCAAACACAAATGGCTAGTAATTCTAGAACGCTTAGACCTTGACTTTGATTAGCTGGTTCTGAAGTCACGACCTCTCCAGCATGAAAAGGTATTGATTTAACATCTGAAATAATAAAATTTTATTCAACACCTAACATTCCAATTACATATATTCGTTAACAAAACTTCCAGGTTATTGAGCGTCAAAACAGAAATGCGTAAAAAAAAATATATCCAGGTATGTATCTCACCTAGTAAGGAATTCTGTGACGCTCCTGCTACTCGAAAGGCTGCACAAGAAGCCGCAAGCCGAGACTGCTCCGGTGACGAGCACAGTACATGTGCTGCCACCAGCCGTCCTTCCAATCGGCTGTGTAAATTTGATGATCCTCGCCACTAACAAATAAGGAAAAATAATTAATAATACTTGACGATATAACAAACTTATCATTAATATCGACACGATTCTCAACGAGAGTATATGTTGATAAATATCGTTATCTAATTTGAATTTGGCGAGCGTATTTTATAAAAATAATATATTGTTGCTTGATAATTTTTTTTTCCCTGTTTATTATTATCCTTCTAAATCTACTATCAAACATATTTTCATAACATTAAACCATACCCTTATTAATGAAGATCAGAGATCTTATACCTAATCAGTATCTCTTGAAAGAGTCGAGATATCACTGAACCAGATGGCATCACCTAAAGACCATTTGTGGTATTACAAATTAACCGAGACATTTATCTTTTTAATATCTACAAGGTGAAATCTAAACGCGGCAAATTCGGCCAGATTAAACAAATTGTTACTTTGACGCCTTATTCACTATCTTAAACTTCATCAGGGCTGTCTTCGCCCGCTCGCAAGACGTCGCTTGCAGGATTGAAAAACGGATCTTTAAGACCGACTAAAAAGATGCAAAGAATGCCTCAAAAGATCACACCGCATTCCTTTTACAGGCCAGTTTACATTTTTAAGACCGTTTTTTTAATTGATAAATAATTATGACACTTATTACGTTTTTCATTTAAAAAGAATAATTATTATGATTGGTCATAAAATCATTGAAAAAAACACAGTATTTAAATATTTAATTACCTCAATTTCATGATTTATGTAAACAGTATGCGCGTCCGTGTATGAAACATGTGATCAAGTAACCGGTACAGCTAAAACACATGCTGTTCTGCGATTCTGTAAAAATCCAAACCCGAATTCGAATTCACTTTAAAAACCGGCACCCGCTCAATCTTGAATTGGTTTCGGTCGTGTTCACGTTTCGTAGCATAAGTGAAGTAAGTTTCGAAATGACATAGGAATGGAATATCTGAGACACGAAAAATCAACCAATTTTATATTTTTATATGAAATAATGGAAAAAATATAATTCCTTCACTAAATGACGTGAACACATGATTGGTTTGAATTCGGGTTCGGATTTTTACAGAAACGCCCTGCAGAACCGATTCCCCTCAAATTAATCTAAAATGTGTCAGCCGTTTGCAATCCGTATCCGTATCCGTATCCGTATTACAATCGTATTTGTTTCATCGAGTTATAAAAGAAACAATGGATAGAAGAAATAAAGAATGTAGAAATGGCATTCTACTTAATCCAGGAATTCATAAATTATAAAAATTAAAAGTATAATTAATACCGAAAGTTATTTCAATTTTTTTTTTGTAATTAATATAATTAAATTCGTGCATTATTACCAAGGTTATTTAATTATTATATGTTAATATTTTGTTATGACGTAGTTTACGTTCTTTGACATTTAATTAATTATTATTTATTTTTTAATTCACTCACTAAATCTTAGAAATTGTAAGTTTCAAATTAAGGCAATTTAGCAAACTATGTCGTATGAGGACACAAAGAAGCTTTTAATTGTATTAAAGTAAGTTATATTTTCCTATTATTATTAATTTGTTTGTTTTATTTTTAATATTTAAGATAGAATGTTTGCTGATTAAGTAGTTATTATATAATAGGAATGATAGAAAAATATTAGATAATACGTATTTTTTTATTTCAATTCAACAAGAAATAGCTTAGATAACAGGCATTAAAGTTGAATAGTAGGGTTCTGGCTACGTCACAGTTTTGTAAAAAATGTACAAAAGCGTGACGTCATGTAACATTTTAACACAATGCATGCACAAACATCAACATTAGTTAAAATACTTGTTTAACTAATGTTGATGTTTGCAAATAATAATAATAATAACTACGCAAAAAATTTAATATAAGCTATATTATAAGCTAACTTTAACTTAAAATACAATGTAATACTAGCCAAATGCAATTTATGAATAAATTTTTATTATTATTAATTAATTAACTAGTTTTGATATATAAAACGGTGATTTTATTTCAATTTCATTTAATTATGTGCATGCTATTGTAGATACTATAGCTGAATAGGAGTTAATAGGCTTTGCAACTTTTTTTATATATACAATATTCTGCCCTGTTTAAACACAAATTAATTGACTACCTTACATACATTGTAGATTAAAATTAAATAATAATAAAAAAAAACAACTTAATAAACCTTAAAAAATAAAAGTGCTTATGCAACTTCCAGTGATGTCGACAGGTTTTGTATAGGTGAAAAAGTTTTTTATATTTTTTTGTGATAATTAAAAATTATGAGTTAGGTACATAAAAAACGCGATCTTTATTTTCTTAGAAGTGTTTTTGTTATTTGGCAAACCGCTTCCAATTATTTTCTTATAAAAACAAAACTGCTAACCCAATTTATATATGTTTTATAGTTTCCCTTAGGGCCTATAAACTTTAGAATAACAAAACAGAAAATCTGTCTACAAATCGATGAATATACATAAATACAAATAAATAAATAAAAAATACTCATACATATCGAACATAGAACCTTTTAGATTTGAAATCCGTTAAAATTATCAATTTGATCCACCGATTTATGGATTCTCTCTTTATTCTAATAACTAATGAACTGTTAACCAAGTATGTTATTATAATAGATGACATTGCATCAACATGAGAGCATATTATTACCCAAATATATTAATGGTGCTTTGCAGGGTTGCCACCCGTCCGAATTTTCCGGGACAGTCCCGATATTAATGATGACCCACGTCCCGATTTCTTATTTATTTAAATACTCGACAATAGCTCGATTCGCGCCTTAGGTATGGCAGGCAGGTCCCACCGCGATGCAAACCGTGTATCCTAATAGTCTATTATCCGCTTGATTTCGTGGCATTTTTAACCCTTGGCCTGGAAATATTGGTTACTTACATTGGACTTAAAGTCCAATCGCTTCTGATGGACTGCTGAATGTCCAGAATTTTGTTTCTCAAAAGATGGCAACCCTAGTACCTTGCCACATCTAAATTGACAACATTAACAATTCGTTTATCATTTTCGTTTTCTTATATGAAGTTTTTGTAAAGCCGCATTTGATTAAAGAATCTTAAAATAGTCACAACAAACTACACTAATAGAATTTCAAGTCTCATTAATTAAGCTCAAAGATGTTTCGAGGGGCTATTTCTGTTACTTTTTTTTTATAAATCCGCCTGAATGGTCATTGATTTCTTGTCGAGAAAAAATACAAAAGGATATTTGTAAGTTTCTTACTTAATCACTTTAATGGACTTTGATAAAATTTACTGTAAGGAAGAAAAAGCATTTATTGACATTAATCAATAACAAACTAAAGCAAAGTCCACCTGTACACTTTCTCAATTTGTCTGCATGCTTAGGCTTGGATCATATCGCTCATCCAATAGAATAACGACAAAGGCGAAATTGAATGAAAAGCTATGCTGTCAATATAACCGGAAAACGGAATACTGCAGAAATTAAATAAATATACCCGTTTTATTATTATTATTTAGATATTTTCCAGAAAAACCCGCTGCTGGTGATTACAATGAGATTTTATCCGAAAGTATTTCTTAATGCTTTTGCAGTTATAAATTGTTGTAAGATGAACGAAATCTTGAATTAAAATATCTATACATAAGTTGAACCCTTTTGTGCTAATTGAACTAGATACAACTGTCATTAAGTTTAGATTTTTTGTTCTTAGCGTGATTTATTTTATTAGACGTATTGTACTAATTTACACCCTTGTGATGACAATTTAACACAAACTAAAACACTTTATTCGAAACCTTATCAATTTAAACCTCGAGTGAAAAAAATTTTTAAGGCACTGCTAAGTTCTTTTGGAATAATTATAAATTATTGTTAACATGCATACAAGGTATTTCTATGCATTAAAGCATCGGAACGTTTGTTATATGGATGTGTTTGATAGTAGGTACATAACAACGACTCGCATGAAACACTTTATTATCCTAAATAAACTTGTAATTCTAAAATATGAGTGGTATTCTTTTTTTATTGAGTTTTTTTTTTGTTCTAGATAGGCAAGCACTTGACCACAGATCACCTGATGGTAAGCAATGCAGTGGTCTTAGATGGAGCGTGCTTGCCTAGAAGGAACCGATTCACTCTTGACATGAAGAGTCCCAGATTGTATTTGCCCAGAAATAGCGAGTCCGGTAGCGAATTCCACGGCTTCGCAGTTCGCACGATGAATGTAGAGGCGAATCGCTTGGTGCGAGTTTGTGGAATCTCCACAGTAAAGCATTGACGCTTCCCAGTACCCCTGGTTGTACGATAATGAAAAGGGGATGACGGGATTAAGTCGTGTAATTCCGATAAACACTCGCCGAAATGTAACCGATAGAAGACCGATAGACCAGCGACTTTGCGGCGATGCTCAAGACTTAGTACTCTCTTTTTCCAAAGAGCGTCGCTTCCAACGAGCCTCTTAGCGCGCCTCTCGATGGTCTCCAACGTTTCAAGCTGGCATTTGGCAGTACCATCCCAAAGGTGTGAGCAGGACTTCATGCAGGACCGCACTTGCGCTTGATATTAGTATAAGCAGCTGTTCCGGCGTGAAGTACCTTCGCACCTTCGAGAGGATACAGAGCTTCTTCGCAGCTAGCTGAACTTTTGCACTTATCTGAGTTGCACTTATCTATTATTTATTATCAACGTTTATACTTAAGTCAGTACCATTTTATTGATAAGACTTTAAATTTCATTTTCTTCATTTACTTACCTAGCTTTCATACGAAATCATGACATTTATACCTATAGATACATACATTCAAGCAACTTTTTACCAGAAATAATCAAAAGACAAACATGGCTACAGTAAGTACTATCGTCATTTTATAACAGACCTGGTCTGATTTTGCCTTGTTAATAGAACTCCGCTATAAATTTCTTACGCAACACATAAATTCATATCAAGATCTATTACTTGACTAAGGAAAAGTTAATAATCACAGACACTAGAAACAAAGAGAAAACAATACACAGGAAGTAATATCTATTCCGAACGTACCCATCAATAATATTCATATTAAAGAATATACAAAACTTGTGTGTAATCCTAAATTTTTCAATATTTATTTCACAAAAACTTTGTTTTGTTTTCTATATACACCTGTGTAAACTTCAACAGGTCTTGCTCGTTACTCGATATCAAATCTTAAAGTGTTGCAGAAAACCGGCATGGTCAAAAAGACCGGTTATTTATCTGTGTGATAAAAGTTTTACGACCTCGGTGGAGGATGTTAACATCGAGTTTGCCCCCAGTATTTGAGTAAAGATATTAGTATATCTAGACGTGGTAGATTAGTAGTAAAATAAAAAACAACACATTAAGATGACGTACTGAATTCATTTAATACATCAATTTTTCACCAATTGAATGCCGGATAGTGAATGAATAATAATACACAATATTTTATTTCTCAGTGTTCAAACGGTAATAAGCGACATTAGAAAATAGCTCAGATTTAGCTAGTCAATTATAAACTATGCCTTTAAATGGTATTCATTTTAAGTGTAATTTTTAGCCATTATAATTTTGAAACGATTTACCTTTATTTATTTTTCATTCAATTATAAAAAGTGGATCAAAATCTAGCTCATCGATCCAACTCACTCGACTCATCCAGTGAATGTTATTCTAATTCAGCGGCAGTTAAGACAGCTCTCCTTTAAATTATCCAGGTTTTTGATAACGACCTTTGTTCATATGCCTCAATTCGTACGCTTAAACTAACCGTCGCCATATCATTTAAGTACATCTTATTAAAAATACACTCAGTTTAACTTTAAATGTTACAAATTATAAATATATTTGACACATCAATTTGAATGTTAACATCATCGTGGGTGGTAACTTCTGACGTTTTACACTAATTCAAAAGTATACTTATTTTTCTATAATTCACTTTTCATTCAAAAATTAAAAAGAAGGAGGTTATAATTTTGGCCGAGTGATTTTTATTAAATTAAGAAGTAATTTAATAGTTATTAAATAGTTAATTTTATTAAATAGTGCTTGGCCGGACGGTCGATTTTTAAAAATCAGGTAAATAAACGATTTGTGGGAAACGACCTTCAATCCTCATCAACAGTGCCGAAAGAGACGAAACAAACGAATTTTATAAAAAACCAGCTAAGCAACCGCCTATCTCTATCACTATTCTAGCCAGAGCTTTATAAACATTTAATTGATTTTATCAATGTTATAATTTTACATTTATAATGTTCTCGCTTTATTATTAACATATTTAAATCATGTTTTGGTTGTTGTAGTTTTCAGAATTATGTTATAACTAGTGGACGCCCGCGACTTCGTCCGCGTGGAAGTCGGTATCCCGTGGGAGTGAGAAGTTTTCCCAGTAAAAAGTACCCTATGTGTTATTCTGATGTATAACCTATATTGCTGTAAAGTTTTATCCAAATCCGTCCAGTAGTTTTTTCGTGAAAGAGTAACAAACATCCATACATCCATACTTACAAACTTTCGCCTTTATAATATTAATAGGATTGAGTAGATTAAAATATGTTAAAGAAAGTTGGAAATTAACCAAACAAATATATTTCGAAAAGTGAAATAAATCAAAATATTTTAATAAATATGTACATAATTAAAAATATATCATTAACGTAATCATCGATGAAATCATAAAAAAGTTCTTATAGGTGTGGGTAGAGTCATTCAATTATATTAACCATTTCAGTCGTTATGGAAGGGGAGAGTCGTTGAAATGTGTCGGTAGAACAATATTTAATAACATTTGTATAGACAAACTATGATAAGCGGAACAAAGTTACGAATTCGACGTAATTAGCCCCCAGTACTAACCAAATAGTCAGAATAATAATGTCTCTTATAATTAGTTTGTGTGTGACAATTGGTTTTATAAGTACTCCTTCGGTTGCAAAAAAACGCTCTAAGGAATATATTTTATAAAACTTTCTATCAGTAGCGTCATCATCATCAGCACTTTTACGTCCCCGCTGAAGGGCTTTCCTTATAGATAGTTAGGCCATGGCCCAATGCGATTTGGAGGGTATTCACGTTTGCTAATGCAGATGGGACCAACGGCTTAATTTGCTTTCCTAAACACGGAGTAGCTCGAGATAACAATTTTTTGGTTACCCATTCGGTAACGGACCCGTGCGAAAGCTGCCTAACAACAACGATCGCGGGCCGCAGCGCTTATTCACTACGCGAACGAGCTATTCAGTATCAGTAATGTATCTTAAAACAAATGAAAATCGAGTTGTCTCATTATTCTACACATTCGAACCTTACTTTTTGGTTCGCTAAACTTAAACCAAGTGATTCGATGGAGTACCTAATTACTTGGTAATATCGAATAGTTTCTTTACCTGTAAAAAAGTGCTGCCTTCGTCTCTATAAAGGCTGAATGGCACGTCGTTGTCTACGAGATCTCGCAAGGTCACCCACCCTGAAGGTGACAGGTATTGTGCACTTGTCACCGCGCATATTGCATCCACTACATCTGAAATTTGAACTTTCATTAGCATGACTTAGTAATACTAGTTTCTTTCGAGATTCAACTAGTAACTAATTCTTATTTAATTTAGAAATGTACTTATAAAGCTTGGAATAGGTGCTAATAATGGTCTTATGCCCGTTTTCACTAAACTTAGGAGTCGTCCTAATATGTCGCCTAAATATTTAGGAATCGCCTAAGGTAAAAATTCCTTTCACCATTGACTAGGAACCACCAAACTAAATTAAACAATGTTTAAAAAAAAACGAATTTAAAAATGAATAAATGAAAGAATTAACTTAAATAAAAACTGAAAATAAAGAAACAAGCCTAGTAGTTTAGAATTCTGTTAAGTAATACAGAACAGAACGACTCATAGTCAGGGCCCATTCAAATTTTACCAATCAAATCTTCCCAAGGGGCCTCGACTATTCAATAGAGCTTAAAGGCGTCATTAAACCTTTAATGGACTTTTGTGCAACTGGCTAAATGAATGTCAAATTTGAATGAGTAATGTCACTTTAAACTAATAACAATTTTAATGGACGTTTGTGCAATTGGCTAATATTAGGGAATAATTATTCGTTTTAGTATTTTTGGAAATGCTGCCCAAAGTAACTATACCACGTATACGAAGTCGTGGGAGAAAGCTTGTTTATTAATATAATAACATAATATTTTAATTTATTTATATTTTTCCGTAAAATTATAAATTTGTCAATTTCTTTTATTAAGTTAATGTTATATATTTTCGACCACTCTTAATAACTCCGATATGGTCTAGTGGCTAGGATACCTGGCTCTCACCCAGGAGGCTCGGGTTCGATTCCCGGTATCGGAAGACTTTTTTTTGTTATTTTTAAATATTTTACTCACCAGTAAAAATTATTTCTTTTGATGGATAAATTATTTGACCTTTCAAAGGTAGAAAAACGAAAGGTATTTGAGATGCAGTCGCGCCACGCCCGAAACTGGCTGTAGCACATTCTGAAAAATAATTACACGATCTAAAATAACGTAGGTAATACATTTTGTCCCATTTAATTTATACAATAGTAATGACCTTAGACACCATAGATAAAATAATAATAAGGCAATGGCTATTTAAATTACCAGAGGCCTATTTAATATGGATCCGTTTTGCATGATAATAGATATCTTGATCTGCGAGACCTAATTGCAAGTCAAAATCATAGTGTGACACACATAAAAGCAAAGACACTGCTTTTATAGCATTGGAATACTAATATCGTTCTGAGTCAAGTGCACTTAGGTTAAATTTAAGCCATTATGGTTTTGAACTGCATAAATACATCCAATTAGTATAAGCATCTTGTATAATAATAAAGATTCAACTGAACATTTTCATTGTTAAAAACGTTACAAACAAATTAAAACACACCATAATAGTCAGCCAAAATAAAATAAATACTAGATACCTCCTTAAAAATACTAAATTTCTTATACTTAGAATACTGGGTATTAGACGCCATTTTACACTGCCTTGGAGGTCAATTCTACTAAATAAATTTTATTTACTAGAATTGGCCTCCTGCGCCGACGTTTCGGCCGGGTTACACCGATCGTGGTCACGACTTGATACGATTTGATAATGCGCGACAGTTTAAAAATGAATATTAAGTTTCACGCCTACAGCTTTTGATAATACTACGCACCTTCGATGTGATTCACGCACACTCTCTGATCTTCTCTAAAAGTTGGAGTGTCTTTCCGGCATTGACATACGCAACCTTCACTACCCATTGCTGACAAAGCAGTGCCGTGAGATATCTCCATACACCTTGTTGGGCCGCAATCGGTACCTGTATATTGTCAATTATACATATCATAATATATTAATATTTTATTTATCAAGGTTATCAATAACGTGCAGGAGAACCTCGAATACCCAAGAGCTATCTCAAGTATCTTCGTAAATTACCCCAAACCCGAATTTCGTGGGCCCGAAACCTCCATTGGATTCGCAGATCATCCCAGAGTTGTGGAATTATGTACTTTAAGTCCTAATTGGGACCGAGACTAGTTCGGATAGTTGAAATGTGGGTTCTTGACAAACAAATAAAATGTTCATATAATATTAACGAGGTTTTTATGAACCTAAACAAAATTTAAAGTAGAATTAAAATGGAAGATAAAATAACTTCCTTCCATTTTTTCTTCCATAAGAAAAAAACTTTGTTGGGTAGGTATAGAACTTATTTTGACATAGGTACCTAATTTATTTTAATGTGTGCACGTTAGAAATAAGAAACTATTAAATTGGAATTCAACGAAAAACTGTGAATTTTAAATGAATTAATTTATTTTTATATTATTACCACAAAAAAGGTTCCAAGTTGTATGGGCTTACCAATAAGCGAAAATAAATCTCCAGATGCAAATCGCGTAACGTTAACCAGCGCTACCTCGCCATTGGAATCGGAACTAGCTGCCACATTAAGCATTGTCGAAAGTAGAATCAGCGCCACCTGGTGGAGCATGTTGAAATCAGTTCCTTTGAGTGCTTTTTCTATCATTTGTTTGTTGATCTACATCCGTGGTTTTTCGATAATTTACTATCACCCATCTTTGGAGTGGCCGCTACGGCATACATCATCTAGAACAAACATTATACAACATTTTATAATGAAAGAACAGAACAGAAAAAAAGAGTAGGTAGAAGTAGCTTTCCGGCAGTTATAAATGAATACCAGTGCACCTATTTTTCTGTTTTGTGGTTTGTAATGGTAGCCACACATTAGTCATATGGCATGCCATAGATAGGTACTCTTTCATTAAATTTGCGCGGACGGTATATGAAGTAATTGAAACTTTTGCAAGTTAGAAATTTTCGTAACAATTTTCCAACACATGTAACTGCTTACAGATTTATAAACCTCATCCAGAAATATAGAAGAAAAAACAAATCACACATCCGACTTCAGTTTAAAAACCATTAAATAAAAAAACTCATGTAAAATCCATAAAAGAGACTTCAAATACGAATATTCACAGTACAGAGATTTAAAATTGGTAATATATCCATCGATTAATAATTTTCTAGAAAATGTATAATATTCCGAATCACTTTCGAAGAGAGTTATGGCATACATTATTCATACGATATCAGACCGAAACCAGTCACTCGGCACCAAATTTAATAATATATATGTATGAATGTTATTTTAAAGAGTTCATTTGATTTTTAAGAAATCGACTGATTTGGGGTCAAACATTAAATCAGATGTCTACTAGTTTCTCTTTGCTATTTGGAATCGAAACTTTGCGACATAAGTTTGAGGCCAATAATTAAATATTCAAATTGTCGCCATCTAAATATTAATTTGAATTTGATGCCTAAATATAGGAGGTTAGTTAAAATATGAAATATATACTTAAATTAATATAATGAAGATCATGTAATGTTATCGGTCTTATCTACTCCATTATCTATATTGGGATGAGACCATTTTAATGAGTCCTTTGTCACCAACAATGTAAGTACTTAATTAATTGGTCTATAAAAAAAGCACTGTGAAACCGACTAACTCAAATAAAAAAAATATCTGCTTGAAAATGGGACAGCCTAAGCGAAAAAAATGAAATAATTTTGAGTGAAACAAATTCAAAACAAATTGAAATTATAAAATCAAATTAAAATATCATTTAAATGTTATTCGTGGTTATAGTTAATCAAATCAGCATATATCTACTCACTGATTTTTTGTAGGTAAAATCCCAAATTTTTCTAGGTTCACGGATGGTGGTCCCTGGAGTGCGACCGTCTAACTCATGGACGTAGCCGTATTCGTAGCTATAACCAAGCTTTATAGGTTTTACACATGAATCTGTTGATATTGTTTTAAAATTAATCATTTTTTATTATTTACATATTTAATAAATGCTTTTAGCTGTTTTTGTTTGCTGAATTATTCAAGTTAAACGAAATTTACAAAATGTCGAATTGATACAAACAATGCTATTTCGCAAAGAAAAACAAACCAAAATGTTTGATAACATATATAAATTAAAAAAAAAACAATTAATTTTAAAAGAATATATTTATATTCTTTTGAAATATCGATAAAGCGTAGGTTATAGCTACGACTACGGCTACGTCCAAGTCGTCCATAGAGCGGAGATTTTATTATACATATTAAAGAACCCTTCATTTATCTACTCAATGTAACGCATAATAATCCAATGGATGGGCCATAGGTACATATGAATACTTAAACAGTGTTATTATTAACAAGGTTTAGCGTTGGAGGAAATTATGCTGAAACTGCACTTAGTATTAGTAAATATTCATATTAATAAACAGAGACTCAGCAAAACTTAACCTAGTACGGGGTTTTGTGAGAGTAATATTTACTCTTGGAAGGTAGTTTGCTTATTCTCTGGATAATATGAATTTGGATTAATACTAAAATTACAATTTTAGGTTAAATTTACTCTGACGTTAAACCTTGTTTATTAATAGCACTGGTATAGTATTGCAATGATAAATATGTATTAATATATCTAAAGATAATGTATGTTTATAATTATTTTATAGGTATAAGTGTATCCTTTTGTCTTTTTGCAATTTTGCATTATTTAATCGCTGTACATTTTTGCTCCTACGTCCAGTAAAGTTTTAAATAAATAAATAATCAATGGTTTATAATCTAATGACTGAAAGGATAAGGACCACTGATCTATTAGAATGTTTATTGTTTCAAACTCTCGCAGGGAAATAAAATAAGACTTACACCTGCCAAAGTTAACCCTTGATATAATTATTTTTGTTAAAAAATTGATGCTTAATTAAAAACGTTTTTTCAGTTCATGATCACAATATATTGACTCTAATTGTGAAACGATTTCATACATTTGTAAATAAAATTTTAAAGCAATAGACAAACATTATCGTATAATTTTTATGACTTAACAGGTTATTTAATCGTCTCCAACATCTCCTCGACTCGTAAAACGCCTACAGAGTGTTACTAAATTGTTTATGAAATAAACCAATAAATATCATAAGTGGTTCTATACCTATAAATATTACTATAAGCTATAAAGGTCAAGCCTCACTTTATTTAAAAACTCGTAACAATACCACTCAGCAGGCCGATTGAATCGTCTGATCATAATAAACGGCTTCATATATCTTTATGGCCCACGGAAGCTGTCGGAATCCAACAGTAGGCTATTGTTTATGTTCAAATTTGTCATTTCGATGTTCATGTATAATTTCTCTGCTATCTTCAAATTTGTAGACTTGTTTGTTGTGACAACGCTGCGGAGTTATGCAGAAACTCATCTCGTAATTTATTTTACATTTATTTTTTACTCATACATCTCTGATAAAAAAATATATGTAAAGAAAATTTACAAATTGAAAATACAAAAGTATTCATTAACGACACACGAGTAAGGGTTTACATCTAAGGGTCATATATCTGATAAAAGTTCCGCCGGGTGTATCTGAAACGGTATATAAATATGAATACTTACCCTCGTCTCTTATTTAATTATTACAATGTTTATATCAAATCGAAATGATTTAATCAGTCTTGGTTGTTACAAGCACTTGATAAAGCCGAAACTCGGCAAGAAACTCGGCAGGGTCTACTTTATTCTTATATGTGTATGTCTGCATGTTATGTAAACATGTAGATTGATTTATTACACACTTGGGCTTGCCTTTCTGTATCAGGGGCTATTACATAGATTTTTTAATAAATCCTTCTATCAATTTTATCTCTCTCTAATTAACGAAAATCGAGAGATCTATTAGGTTGCCAGGAGCAAACAGTTACACAGCCGAAAAATTATACTCTTATTTGTTATTCTATTCCCTATCCAGTCTGTCCTTTTCTAAAAGTCTAGGCAACCTTGTCTACAACACTTTAAAGTGCTATCTATTGAAGGATAGGACTATTCTTATACTATCTTAGGTTGTATACCTATTCAAAAATTTTGTAGTCACATCCTCGATTACCAAGACTTAATGCAACGCATTTTTGGTCACTGTTTCTGCTTGCTTATTCATGAATGTGCCACATTATTGAAAAAGCAACCTTATATACATACTGTTATAGAATAATAAAAAGTTTCATTTATATAATGTTAAATAACAAATATGAGTAGATGATTATACTCGTAGATTGTGTAACTGTTTGATCCTGATTACCTCACGATTGATCTAAATGAGAACAAAAACCAAGGCTACCTTTAATTCTCTAGCTAAAATATCCTTCTCTTATCGGCATTTTCCATTTCCAAAAAACCTTTTTTGTCGCTAGAAAATTGATCACTGCCTACCCACTTCTCCTTAAAGCTGAGGCGGCAAGTTATGTGGGGCTCTACCCTGTGGACCCACCCACTAGCCCCAGAAGGAGCAAGTCAAAAAGTAGGGCATAACCTCAAAACCTAATTATGTCCATCTCCATGGAAGACGATGTATGTACGGAGACAGCTCAAAAAGTACTTCCCGAGTCGTTCATCCCCATTTCAGCCCACCCCTTGCAGTTAAGTGATGGCCCTTGATTATTAATCTAACACATAAAGTTTGTTTCAATCATATAATAAACGTTTGTAAATTTTCCTACATAGTAGGTTTCTTATAGACCTTAAGATATGCATGCACCAACCCTAAAGTCTCAACTTTACTATGTTGAGTTACTGCTATATTAATTACTCATGGCGCCTTAATGGTAATATTGTATGTAATTTATATAGCTGCCATTTAAACTATTCACATTAGTTTCCAATTCATATTAGCCGTCACTTTGAGTTATTTGAACATTCACATATTCGTTATTTAGATAATTTCAACGAAATGTTATTTTACGTGTTTTAATTAATTAATGGTTAATGTAAGTGAATTTAACTGAGGAAAAATCAATAAAAAAAAACAAAAGTGTGTTAGTTTTTATAGAAAGTATTTTTTTACTATAATTTAGAATTTTGATAAAACAGGGAAATTATAATGACCTGGATAATAGAATAGAATCAGGTTCGATTATTTATTTGATTGTGTAGTTTATGCGTGAAATAACTGATTAGATCTAAGCTATATGTTGAAACCTATAATTGACTTATTGTTTGTTATGCCATAATCTATCTCATTTGATTAGCTGTTGGTTTTCCCAGATAAATAAATAAATAATTCTTCTTGTTTTAAAATAAAGATTAAAAAGTTTAGAATTTAAGTGATAATTATTCTGCGATATCATATAAAGTCACGAAATAGTTAACTATATCAAAACAAAAAACATTTATCAATAAATATTCATGAAATAACGGTTATTAATTAAAATAATGTGTTTATGAAAAAATCGGGATATTTTGTAAATATGTTTTTTTGTTTGGCCCAATGGAGCATCTAACACTCGACTTCCGTGAAAATAATAAATCTGTGCCCGATTCGGGCCATAAAAGTCGTCTTAAAAAAGTATTTATAAGATGCATATAAAATAATTATCATCAAAATTTACTGTTTCTTTAAATATTCAAATCAGGACATAAATTATCTACATTTGACATA